CCATGAGAGAGCCCTGCTCTGCAAGGAGCAGTACCAAAAAATAAAAGTAGAGGAGATGTTTGAGCTGCGTTCTGAAAGACGAATATGAGGTTCTCCCTTAAATGAAAGCAAGGGTCCCAATTCAGAGGCTTTTTACAGCGGTTTCCAGGTGGGCAAAATAATTTAAAAAGGAAGATTAGGATGAGTTATGTAAAACTTAATGTATACTGAAGCCTGTTATCAGGGGTTTTCAGGGTATTTCTACCCTTAATGTCAAACTTTTCTGGATCTTGTTCTCACCTTTCTCCTTCCACCCTGTTTTGGAAGTGTAGATCACAGAAGCAAAGCTATGTAAGCCTGGGGCAATATAAGAGGTTGTGAGGGCCATGGCTGCCCTGGGGCCATGGTTTATGGACTGTGTATAGCTGCACCCCTCCACACAGCCCTGTGAGTTCACATACTTCTTCAGGTCCCCTTGGAGGAGACAGATCCCAGAGGTGGCAAAATCTTTTCAGAGCATGTGCTTAGAGCTGCTCTCTACCCAGCCTCTCTGGCTTGACTAGTTCATGCGCAGAACTATTCACCAGTGTGAGTACTCCAGATCTGGAGAGCCCTCTCTTTATGAAAGGCGGTCCTTTCTCCCTTAAGGCAAAATTAGAATCCAGGATTTCTAGAAGATTTTGGAACACACATTCCTTTCCCATGGCCAGGACCAGCTTCCTTATCCCCTCCCGACTTCCTTGCTGTGCTGGAGATGGAGGAACAGAGCTCAGAGGGTGTCTGTATCCACTCGACCAGCACACATGGAAACTGTGACCTGTATGCTTTTGTGTGTGGACAGAGTTCAGTAATTCCATATAAAATAAACGAACCATTAGTACCTATGATCTCAGGACCCCAGAACCAGAGAATGGAGAATATGGAAGCCCACGAAACACTCAGGTGTGTGAGGACCCATGCTTTCTAGTGTCAAGCACTTTGTGTTCAGCTTGACTTGACTCTGGGACAAGGTGCTTACTTGTGTGTTTCCTATTTGTTTCAGAGGATACACTTTCAAGAAGACTGGAAGATAATAACCCTGTTTATAGGCGGCAATGACCTCTGTGATTTCTGCAATGATCCGGTAAGTTTTCAGGCCCCTTACTCAAGTCTCACCCCCAAAGAAGGATTTTCACAGCCCAGTCACTTGCTCCACCCAGGAGCAGTGCAGCTAACTTGGGACTCAGGCTCATGGTTTGTCTTGGATCCAGCCTGGGATGAACCCTGAGACTGAGAAAGCGTTCACCTCCAGGGAGCAATTCAGCTGGACAAGCAGGATTGGTTACAAGATTGATCCTGATTCAGTTTCCTATTAAGGGAGCCTGATCATATCATTCTAGAAGCCAAGATAACACCCAATGACCTAGGAAAGTCTTGCCTATGTTCACAGAGAGTCACAGGTTAGTTCCTTTCTCCAGTCTTTAGCGGCCTTGCCCTCTCCACCTCTGTGCTGTCGCTTGTACGGGAGAAGTGATTTCCTGCAGGCATTTGGGCAAGCTTCAGAGCCAAGTCCTTATGGGCTGCTGGGAAACCCCAGATCAAGGCTGCTGCTCTGTGGGTGCTTCATGTCTTCATGGAACCTGTTTCTGAGCTGACAGAAACCCTACAGGCCATACACACTAGCCTCCCACCCATGCCTATGCCAGGAATGTACTAGGAGCGAAGCAGTGGTGAAGGAAACACAGGCCCTGTCCTCAGGAACTCGCACTGCCAGCGGAGAGACACAGGCACTTCATCACAGCACAAGGAAGACATCAGGATGTGGTTGTAGGGATGCACAAAAGCAAAGTTGGCCGGGCGCGGTGGCTCACACCTGTAATTCCAGCACTTTGGGAGGCCAAGACGGGTGGATCATCTGAGTTCAGGAGTTCAAGACCAGCCTGGCCAACGTGGTGAAACCCCATTTCTACAAAAATTGAAAAATTAACCAGGCATGATGGGCAGGTGCCTGTAATCCCAGCTACTTAGGAGTCTGAGGTGGAAGAATCACTTGAACCCGGGAGGTGGATGTTGCAATGAACCGAGATCATGCCATTGCTCTCCAGCCTGGGTGACAAAGGAAGACTCTGTCTCAAAAAAAAAAAAAAAAAAAAAGGCAAATTTGCTGTGGGAGCCTGGTGTGTGGGGAAGGGTTTGTTAGATTTACATAGAGCAGGAGACTTTCCAACTGGGGCTTAAAGATGAGTAGGTTTGTAGGTAGAAAGGAGACCAGCAGAGTGAGGTTTAGGCTATCTTGCTGTAGCCCGTGATCACCGACCTGGAGGGATGCCCCAGACCCCTCACAAGCCACTTTACTGACATCCCAGTCACCAGGAGTCAGGAGTTTTCAAGCTGTGATCTGAAGGGCCCAGAGGGGAGCCTTGGGGCTGCTGGTGGCCCATGGGGAGGTGGCACCCTGGGCCCTTCCCCTGCTCACCTTAAGTGACAGCTTTGATATGTTCCATACAGCAGGGCTCTTGGTTAGATTTCAATCAGAGGAAGAGTTCCACTACTGAAAAAGCTTTAAAACCACAGATATCAAGGTCAGAAGAAACAGGTAAAATGTATCTAGGCTTGGTGTGGCGGGTGTTTCACGAGACCCTCTTCCCCTCCATTATTGCCTCGATTTGTGTAGGGTGTGGCTCCCCAGACACGGAGGCTCCAGGAAGAAGAGATCAGGCCATAGGACAGAGGCTGCTCAAGTTGCCGGAGATCTTAGAGCTCATCTGCTCTGACATCTCCATGTTAGAGGGGCCCGGAGATGCAATGCTCTGGCTCCAAAGCTAGTGGATGTGAAGTAGACCCAGAGCTCCATGCAACAACAACAAAAGGCATTTCCCTGAGGGCCACAGCCATGACAAATCTGAGGATCGTGGGGCTGGTGTCCAGGCTGGGCCCAGAGACAAACACTATATTTCAATATTGCCCACTGTGACTGAAATACAGTAAGAAGGGGACTCTGGCCGGGTGCGGTGGCTCACACCTGTAATCCCAGCACTTTGGGAGGCCGAGGTGGGTGGATCACTTGCGCCCAGGACCAGCCTGGGCAACATGGCAAAACCGCATCTCCACCAAAACAAAAATTAGCCAGGCATGGTGGCACGTGCCCATGGTCCCAGCTACTTGGGAGGCTGAGCCCAGGAGCCGGAGGTTGCAGTAAGCCTTGATCACACCACTGCACCACATCCCAGGAGACAGAGTGAAACCCTGTCTCAAAAAAACAAAAAAAAAAAAAGAAAAGGAAAGAAAGAAAGAAGGGGACTCAAGGGAGAAAGTAGCCCTGTTCCTAGAGAGATTGGGTGACAAGTGGTGTTCAAGGGATACTTTCTCTTCCTGCAGGTCCGCTATTCTCCCCAGAACTTCACAGACAACATTGGGAAGGCCCTGGATATCCTCCATGCCGAGGTACGGAGGCTGCATCTTAGACCTCAGGCCTAGCCTGGGGGAAGCTCTGGCGTCCTGCGTCCTGGGGAGACCTGCAGGTCACCTTGGTTGTGGATCTCAGCCCGAATGCCTAGATGGGGAGCAGGGAGGGGTAGGGGAAGCGGATGGGGGTGGATGGAAGTCCCTAGATCTGAAACGTGAGCAGGAAGAGCGGGCCCCACATCCAGGTGAGACCCCGGAGCTGCCAGCCGCATCCTCTTGGTGACAGATTTTGCCTTTTCTCAGGTCCCTCGGGCATTTGTGAACCTGGTGACGGTGCTGGAGATCGTCAGCCTGAGGGAGCTGTACCAGGAGAAAAAAGTCTACTGCCCAAGGATGATCCTCAGGTCAGACAGACACTTCTCCCCCATTCCCAAAAGGGCAGTGGCACCCTCAGCAAGCTCCCTAGAAAACCCAAGGGCAGAAGTGTGAAAGGACTGTGGCCACCCCATCTTCTAACCTAGAAAGGCCTAAGGGGAGGATATCCCAGGATTTTTCAACCCTGGTGTAGGCCTCAGCCTACCTCAGGGTGGCATGGAGAACTACCCCTGTGCCCCTCCTCTGCTGCCGTGGCTGCCACAAGGCACCCTCCAGGCCTCCAAAGGAAAGAGCAAAACGCTAGGAATGGAGCCAAGCTGTGTGGCTGAGGCCCAAGGAGCACCCAGGCCGCTGCTGGGACCTACTTCCAAGTGTGTCCACAGCTGCCCTGCCCCTCCAAGAGGCCCATCTCTAGGACAGGGGTGCCTTTGGTTGTTATGGGTGTTCTGTGTAAGGCATTCACAGATATTTGGCTCCTGTCACTTGCCAGAGAAGGAGGGCAGACCAGAATCAGCAGAGTCCAGAGGACAGAGTCCTCCCCAGAGAGTAGAGAGCCCTGGTCCTGAGAGCATGTCTTCACCCCTTAGCCTCCAGAGTCAGACAGAGCTGGCTTCCCCCTCTAGTACAGGCTGAGCATCTCTCATCCGAAAATCTGAAATCTGAAATGCTCCAAAATCCAAAACTTTTTTTTTTTTGAGATGGAGTCTCACTCTGTCACCAGGCTGGCAATGGCACAATCTCAGCTCACTGCAGCCTCCACCTCCCAGGTTCAAGCAATCCTCCCACTTCAGCCTCCTGAGCAGCTGGGATTATAGGTGCATCACCATGCCCAAATAATTTTTGTATTTTTAGTGGAGATGAGGTTTCACCATGTTGGCCCAGGCTGGTCAACATGGTGAAACCTTAGGTGATTCACCCTCCTTGGTCTTCCGAAGTGCTGGGATTACAGGCATGAGCCACCACTCCCGGCCCCAAATCCAAAACTTTTAAAGTGCTGACGTGAAACCACAAGGGGAAAATTCCACACCTGACCTCACGTGACAGTTGGCAGTCAAAACACAGGTACACAGCACGCAGTTTATTCAGCATCCCCAAAAAGCCCCCTTCAGCTGTGATCACTGTCTTTCCTGCGCATGCCCAGATCCTGCAGCTCAAGCATGCCCACAGAGGGTAGCAAAGTGGCACATGTGCAGGCTGGGTGCTCCAACAACAGGTTCCCCATGATGGCTCACGTGGGGCCAAGACCTGAGTGCATTACTCACCGTAGTTTTGCTCATTCTCTGTGTCGTAAAGATGTGGCTGAAAATGATGGTCATAGGGTAATGCAAATATTCCAAAATCCAAAAAAATCCGAAATCTGAAATGCTTCTGTCTAAAAGCATTTCAGATAAGGGAGACCCAGCCTATATGACACATCTCCAGGATCCTCAGGAATAAGACGTTCTTCTAAGTGAAGCATGAACATTTCCCACAGCCTTCCTTCCTACAAGTTCTCCTCTGGACTGTTAGCCAAGGTCACTGAGGCTGTGCTCCTCTGCCCTGTCCCCCGAGTTCTGTCACTCTGTACAGGTCCCCACCCCAGATCTGAGCACATCACATGGTAATTATTCATGTGCCTCCCTCCCACAGCCTGTGAACTGAGTCTGAGTCATGGCTAGCATGGTGTAGGGGCTCAGCTGCTGTTTGCTTGAATGACTGAATAATTCACAAGGACCAGACTCACTCTTGGAAGTTAAGGGGTATCTTGGCTGCTCCTCTGTAGATCCATGCCAAGCCTCACCTGGGGGACCCAAACTGCACAGGTCCCCTGGAGAAGGCGTCACGGTGCTGTGAGCAGACAGGATGGCTGCTGGATGACACGTGCTTATGAATGCTGCTGGTGTCAGGCATGCTATTTCCAACTGCTGACTCATCCCCTGGCTCCCACTTTCTCCAGTCACTGGGCCACACAGGGATTGTGTCTTCACTCCATTTCAGAGCAGCTTATCAGAAAGCCTCTTGCTACCCTTCCCAGCAGGGTTTTTAGACCATTCAAACTAAAGGTTCAGTATAGGCATTTGCCAGGTCCATTCACAGGTCCGAGGTGGCCAAGTCACTGAACGTCAAGGTTGGATAGACTCAGGTCATCTTGTCCTGCCACCTCTGCAGTGCTCTGCACTCCCCACCTCTCCACTGTTCCATCGGGTGGCTGTACTTTCCTCTGCAGTGCTGAGTCTACATGGAGCCATCCCTGCTGTTATCACCTCATTCCCCTGGACCAAAAGCCCAGAAGTGCCAGATAGCTGGCCAGGTCAGAGCTGCAGACTGGATGGAAGCAGTTGGATACAGAGAGTTAACATAGAGGTTCAGAGCTTAGGTTCAGAGCCAGACAGACTTGAGTTCAAGTCCTGGCTTCCACATTCAGCATCCATGTGACCTTGAGAAAGTTACTCAACCCCTCTGAGCCTCGGTTTCTCATCTGTGAAACACAGATAATGAGAATACCACTTCTAGAATGGCTAGGAGGACTAAACAGGTTAATACCCATAAAGTAGTTATTGCAGTGCTTGGGACAGTAGTCACTGTTAATTATTCAATAATTGCTAAGACAAATTCAAATCAGTGTATCTTAGCAATTGTTGTTGTCACTAATATTATGTAGAAGGCAGTATGCCTCGTCCACACAGCACTGTCCTCAGACAGCCACAAGGTAACTGGGCTCCATAAAAGTCACTCCTACAGATATCAGAAGCAGTCTATTTCATTTTCAAGAGCAAATCCAGGTCTGGGAAAATTTTTTTCTTTCTTTTTTTCTTGAGAGAGCCTCTCTCTGTCACCCAGGCTGGAGTGTAGTGGCACAATCTCAGCTCACTGCAACCTCCACCTCCCAGGTTCAAGCGATTCTCATGCCTCAACTTCCCGAGTATCTGGGACCACAGGCCTGCACCACCACACCTGGCTAACTTTTTCATATTTTTCATAGAGACAGGGTTTTGCCATGTCAGCCAGCCTGGTCTCGAACTCCTGACCTCAAAGTGATCTGCCCTCCTTGGCCTCCCAAAGTGCTGGGATTACAGATGTGAGCCACCGCACCTGGCCTGGAAATTTTCTTTAGCTTCATTTAGTATGGTCAGCAGGCCAGACAGCCAGACTCCTCATTAGCACAGCTCTCTGAACTCCAAGTTAAAAGAAATATATTGAGTCTCAAAGCAACATTTCTACATCACTCATTCAGGATGGTGATCTTGGTGGGTGAGTGTTTCTCTTTGGTTTGATCCACAGGTCTCTGTGTCCCTGTGTCCTGAAGTTTGATGATAACTCAACAGAACTTGCCATGCTCATCGAATTCAACAAGAAGTTTCAGGTAAGTGGGGAAGGGGTTCTAAGACTTCCCAGAACTGCTGTGTGATCTGATTGCTCTGCCTAGAGAACATGTCAATGCCTAGGTAATTTTGACCCTGTATGGGCAATGACCATGGACTGGTTTGCTGATTTTAAAACGCCCTGAGACACAGCAGGGCTGCAATTTGGTTTGCTTGACTTGTACCACAGAGCCAAGTGCCTGAACGTGCCACTGAATCTCAGTTCCTGGTCTTTACATGAAACGAATGTTTCCACTTGTTCATAGACGAACGCGGATCATGGAAAGAAGTTTCAGAGTGGAAACTTCTATCCGGATCCAAACCCCGACTCTGCTCACTGGCTGTGGAACATTAGACACGTGGGCAGTGAAACTTCTCTGAGCTTCCAGCTCCTGGGTGGGAAATGGATGCTGAAACACCTCCCTCCCTGGAGGGTCTCCAGGGTTCAGTGAGATGAGGTGCATTCCCTCTGCCCTCCCCTCTGATAGGGCAGATGTTCTTGGGGAGCACAAGGAGAAAGGAAGTCAGGAGATGATCTCCATCTTGTGGGTGGTTCATTTTAGCCCTTTCTCTACCACATCTTTGACCGTAACAACAGACTCCCTTAATGATCATGAGTTTCTCCCCCACAAAAAAATTGTCCAGTCACTCGGAGAGGACAGTGGTAGGCCTTTCTTCCAAACTAGGCTGCAAACAGCTGCCAGAGTAGATCCATCCTTCAAGGAGTCCATGGACTCCATGGGGGCAGCACCACTTCCCTGCAGACCTTTTTAGGGGCAGCTATACCTGCCAGGTGTAATGCAGGGAAATGAACCTGTATTTATTATTCTCTGTGACCACCACCTAGCACTCAGGATGATTCCCCTGCTGGACTTCCTTTATTTATTTATAATGAGATAGGGCCTCACTTTGTCACCCAGGCTGAGAGTGCAGTGGCACAATCTTGGCTCACTGCAGACTTGACCTCCAAGGCTCAAGCTATCCTCCAGCCGCAGTCCCCCAAGTAGCTGGGACTGCAGGTGTGTGCCACCACACCCAACTACTTTTTGTATTTTTAGTAGATACAGGATTTCGCCATATTGCCCAGGCTGGTTTTGGACTCCTACACACAAGCAATCCACCCACCTCAGCCACCCAAAGTGCTGGGATTACAGACATGAGCCTCTGCGCCCAGCTGTACTTCTTTCTGCTGTGAGCAGGCACCTGTGACTGGGGAGAAAGTCCCCTGCCCACAACAGAACAGAGAAGGCAGCTGAGGTTATGGCCGTGAGAGCAATCCTGTTTCAATTGGGGTTATTTGGTGCACGCAACCAAAGTTCATGGAGTTTCCAGCTAATTTAAGCAGATTTAATATGTACACAGAATCCCTAGCAGAGCTAGAGAGCTAGGGTCAGGAGCTGAGCTATCAGGAATCGTGGAATGATAAAATCCTAGGGGCCAACCCGTAAGAATCAAAATCAGGGCTGGGTGTGGTGGCTCATGCCTATAATCCCAGCACTTTGGGAGGCTGAGGCAGATGGATCACTTGAGGTTAGGAGTTCAAGACCAGCTTGGCCAACTAGTGAAACCCTGCAAAAAATACAAAAATTAGCCAGGCATGGTAGCACACACCTGTAGTCTCAGCTACTTAGGAGGCTGAGGTAGGAGGATCATTTGAAAGCAGAGGTTGCAGTGAGCCGAGATTGCACCATTGCATTCCAGCCTGGGCAATATAGTGAGACTTTGTCCCTCCAAAAAAAAAAAAAAAAAAAAAAAAGAATCAAATTCAGACCACAGACCTGGTCCAGGGAAGACATCACAGACTCCAGTGTCACTGCTGTTTCTAGGAGCTGGATGCAGCCGCCACCTTCAGCAGAATGGGTGCTTTGCCATCCCTGGCACAGGCAGTGATTGGTGAAGCCTCAGCTGGTGCCCACACCTTGGCTGCAGGCGGGGTTGGGAAAGCAGCTTTTGTCTTTTTCAGCCTCCACAGTGGGAGGCAGGCTGCTCCCTGTGCAGTGGGGTCTTCAAACTAGGAAGTGGGTTCAGATGCTGAACAGCCAAAACGGAGGAGAAAGATTCACCGACATCACCTTCCCAGCCTCTGCAGACAGGCCAGTGGTTCCCACGGCAGACTGCCCACCACTGAGGCCCTGCCTGATCTAGTGTTTTGGAGATCCCACATGCCAGCCACATGTGGCCGTCACGCCCTCTCTGAGAATCATCTCACACCCTACTTCCCACAAAAGCTACGGCTCTCATCACTCACCCTGGAGATGATCATTCCTATCAATAACCACAGTCAGTTACTTACCACTGGCCATGTGCCAGGGACTCTACACACTATTTATTTCCACTACCAAAAGGTGTGTGGTTCCACTGTGAGCCCATCTGGCTATCCCCAAAGTAACCGGTAGCACTGGAAGGGATTTAAGAGATGGCCCAGGACTCACCCAACATCCTCCATTTACTAAAGGGGAAACAGAGAAAAGGGAAGCACCGTGCTGGAAGTCACACTGCTAGTTCGCAGTACCTCACTTCCTTCCCTTCTGAGAGACTACCTTCTCTCCTTCCCTCATGCCTTACTCAAGGCAGACACTGGCTTGGGAGGTCAGACTCGAGACATTCCTGGCCTGGGAATTGACCCTGGGAAAAGACAGTGTGTGGTGTTTTCTGAAGTGACCCCATTAATGTTCCCAGGTATGTAAGCCTGACTTCCCTCTCCAGCCAGAGTAATGGCCCCAGGTGGCAGAAACCCTGGTGAGCAGTGGAATGGCTGAGTCAGCCTACAGTGGGAGCCAGAACTGGGGTAACAGGTTTTCCTAGAAGTGACCCCAAGCAGAAGCTGTGAGGGTTACACAGATCTGAGAGTCTCCGGCACACATACACCCTGCACAGGCAATGTAAATATACACTCAATTTTGATGCACTTTTGATTTTCCTGGACAAATGTAGGACAGAAATAAATTGTTTGGATTATTCAAAATGTCATTTAACTAAAAACCACCCCTCAAATCTTTAGTCAAAATAGCTTTAAAAGAAGTCAAGCTGGCTGGGCAAGGTAGCTCACACCTGTAATCCCAGCACTTTGGGAGGCCGAGGCAGTCGGATCACCTGAGGTCAGGAGTTTAATACTAGCCTGACTAACATGGAGCAACCCCGTCTCTACTAAAAATACAAAATTAGCTGGGCGTGGTGGCACATGCCTGAAATCCCAGCTATTCGGGAGGCTGAGGCAAGAGAATGGCTTGAACCTGGGAGGTGGAAGTTGCAGTGAGCCAAGATCGCGCCATTGCACCAACCTGGGCAACAAGAGCAAAACTCGATCTCAGAAAAAAAAAAAGTCAAGCTGATAGACTTTTCTTATCTATCCTTTTTCACAGCCTAGTTCAAATAGATGCAATTGCAGCAGAGTTTGGGGCCAGGGGTTAAGATAAAGGCTGATCTAAAATGTAAATGATCTAAAATGTAAAATTTCAGTTGCAATTTTGCTCCAGGTTGATTTCACTCAACAGTCAGATTCTGCTTAGTTCTGTGTTGGGGAAAGAGATCGATCAAGGACTGAGCAGATGCACAGAGGACTGCCTGACCTCCATCCCCTTTTCCTCCTGCAGGAGGGGACCCACCAACTGATTGAGAGCGGCCGATACGACACAAGGGAAGATTTTACAGTGGTTGTGCAACCGTTCTTTGAAAACGTGGACATGCCAAAGACCTCGGTAAAGAAAGCAAGCATCGTGGATAAATAGAATCCACAGAGAGTGTGTGGCTCTTTCTGAGTGTCATTTATATGATCCAGCGTGTCTATAATGGCCTCTCTTTTTCTGCCCGGTGAGCAGGAGGGATTGCCTGACAACTCTTTCTTCGCTCCTGACTGTTTCCACTTCAGCAGCAAGTCTCATGCCCGTGCAGGCAGTGCCCTCTGGAAAAACATGGTAAGGTGGCTGTGAGAAAAATACATCCTCCCTCTGGTAAGAAAAAGACTCAAAGGTCCTCCTTGACGTAGGAGGCCCATCATACATGCCATGTGATTCTGTGCACAGCAATGATAAATAAACCCCATCTCCTTCGTCCTTCCCTGCCTCCCGCACCCCTGACCTGCATCCTGAGCTTTCCACCTCTTCCT